AGAATGAACAGGAGTAGGGCTGGGCGATATGGCCTAAAATCAATATCACCATATATTGAAGATCTCACCTCGATAACGATAAGTAGGCAATAACTACAGGAATGCGTAGCAACAATATTTGTCCACTAGATGGGGCTGTCTCATGTATTACAATGACTAAAATTGTACATGACTCAAGATGCTACAGCTTCTTAAAGGGACATAAATGTGGCCAACTTACACATCTTTTCATTTTTTTATTATCAGATTTATTGACATGGGAAAAATTATCTGGATGAGAGACAAGAACTTGGATAACGATAAATCTTTGACATGTTGCCCAGCCCTAAACAGGAGTCTATCAGACTGCATTTATTGTTATTTACATGACAATCTACTGAAATAAAAATGTCCACAGTCAGAGTTTCAGTTCAAATGTGATTAGTGTATGATCTCCCTTTCATTTTTGTAAGGATGATACCAATGAGCCGGACCTCCGGGATGCAGCAGTTGTCCTCCTGACAACCATCACAGATGATGCCGAGAGTCCAGTTACGTACGACCCAGTGAGAATCTGTTATCCTAGAGGGTGATGTGATTGTCAACCTCTCCAGCCTTCCTGGTAATGTCCGGCCTCATCTATGCCTTACATCTAGATTATCCGAAGGGACTGACCAACACATTTGAGTTCACGCAGAAAATCTTACTTGGTCTTGATGAGTCTAAACTGTCACCCACGCTGCAGAGTCAAAAATGACCTGATGTTACATGTGTAACTCAAAATCTGAAAGAGTGGTGGATTCAGATGGCTCACTCTGTTAGAGCATTGTCCACATCCACAATGTAATTTACTATTTGTCTGCTCTTTAATTGTTGATGTTAAAGTAACACACCACCATTTGGGCAAATATGTTCATTTTCCACTCCTCCTTGAGTTAACCCTCCCACTGTCCTAATGGGTAGGACCCCGCGAGGAAAGTTGACCATTGAGCAGGGTTGATGGTTCATCCTTTGGGTCCACGTGGCAGGGGTGAGGTGGTGCTCACTCCTCACCCCGTCACGTGGACCTCAAGGGATAAACCATCAACCCTGCTCAATGGTCAACTTTCCTCTCGGGGTCACCCATAAAGACAGTGGGAGGAACAGTTGAGTTTTACCTTTTCTCTGTTCGTCCAGCCGTTCTGAGTCTGGCAACTCTCATTTGTGGCTTTAGTTTAGCGTGAATAATTGAATCGGATTAGCCCATTAGCATCTAATGCTAATAGGCTAATCCGATTCAATACTCAACTGGTTTTATGCCAAATGGCATAAAGTACTCACTGTCTTACTTGATAGTGGTTAGTGTAATTCATATTTTGTTAATGTTGAATCGATGTGCATTCTGATGTTGCTTTAAACCACCTACTCAAAGAAAGTCTACACACTGCTGTTGTCCAGTTTTCAAAAGTGTGAGTTTGTAATTGTTTCTTTCAAATTTTGTTTTATTTTCTGTTTGAGTTGGCTTAATCGGTAACTTTAATTTGATCATAATTTGAAAATATATTTAATATAAACTCCAAATATTTAAGTTTATTTATGGTCTGATATACTCAAATATCTGAGTTTATAAACTCAGAAAATATGAGGCAACTGATTGCCTTACATTTTTTGAGTTCTGCCTACTTATTCGGGTTTACAGTGTACGAACTGTAAAGATTTTGTGGTGTTCACCTAACAGTTCAAGTGTTCATTTTTTGCTTTGTGTGTTCACAGGGCGTGCTCAGTTGAAGTTTACATCTCTGCGCGTTCAAGATGTAAGAAAAATAACACGAAAGAAATGCAACAATGAAAACTTCAAAACGGCATCAACAACCAAGCAAGTGGATCCATAAAATGGACTGATTTTTTTAAAGGCATTTTTAAAAAGTCTTTCAAAATGGACAGAATTAACGCGTCATGTTCAGAACAGTTTGCGTTCTCATCTTTGATTAATCCTGGTAAACAGGTCTGTTTTTGTTCTGTTCTAATTCTCTCTGTTTAATAAATTTAAACAACATGACTTAGCTATTTTATTTAATTTTTTTTCTCTGCATAAAGACGAAGTATCAGTAAATAGTGGAAATTAAACGTATTGGTAGTAAGCAAATAGCAGATGTTAAATGTTACTTGCAGTATGTGTTTATAGAAAAAATAGAGATACTTAAATGTACTAAAAGAATATTACGTCAAGTTTACTGTAAAGTGTACTTTCAAAACTATAAGTATACTCAATTATATAAGAAGTACACTACAAGTAAACATATATTATTACTTTAAGTATAATTTTAAGTATACATTCAAAGAGAAAAGTATACTCAATTATTTCAGAAGTACACTACAAGTAAACTTATAATGTTACTTAAAGTTTATTTTTAAGTATACTTTCAAGCGCAAAAGTTTACTCAATTTTATTAGAAAAAAACTTATACTGTTACTTTTAAGTACTTTCAATGAGAAAAGTATACTCAAATATATCAGGAGTACACTACAAGTAAACTTATATTGTTACTTTTAAGTATACTTCCAAGGAGAAAAGTATACTCGATTATATCAGAAGTACACTACAAGTAAACTTATAAGTATACTTCCAAGGAGAAAAGTATACTCAATTATATCAGAAGTACACTACAAGTAAACTTATAAGTATACTTTCAAGGAGAAAAGTATACTCAATTATATCTGAAGTACACTCCAAGTACACTTGTGAGGTTACTTTAAGTATACTTTCAAAGAGAAAAGTATACTCAATTATATCAGAAGTACACTACAAGTAAACTTATAAGTATACTTTCAAGGAGAAAAGTATACTCAACTATATCAGGAGTACACTACAAGTAAACTTATATTGTTACTTTTAAGTACACTTCCAAGGAGAAAAGTATACTCAATTATATCAGAAGTACACTACAAGTAAACTTATAAGTATACTTTCAAGGAGAAAAGTATACTCAATTATATCTGAAGTACACTCTCAAGTACACTTGTGAGGTTACTTTAAGTATACTTTCAAAGAGAAAAGTATACTCAATTATATCAGAAGTACACTACAAATAAACTTAAATTATTACTTTGAAGTATACTTGCAGTATACTTCAAGTATACTTTTAGTGGCCCAATTTAGTCCCAAGGAGTATACTTCTAAGTAAACTTTAAGAACAAGTATGCAAATAAACTTCTGTACACTTAAGTATACTTGAAATTATATACTTAAAGTATACTTCTTTTTCGTAAGGGCGGGATAACTCATGTTTCTTCACCTTCTCAGAAAAATGTTTCATGTCCGTAACTCCTGACTCAATCCATGCCTTATCTGTCACAGTCGTTTTGAATAACAAACACGGAAAGCAAAATAACGCATTAGCGTGATTGCATCCAGCTAGCCAAGCCTTCCTGGTGTACCAATTTCGGGAGAAGCCTCGTGTGTATAGTTTACCTCTCTCCTTCTCCTGCTGGCTTATCTTTACGTCGGGCTTATCTGGTCCAAGCTCTTTGACATTAAGTTTTTCCACCATAGTTCTCCTCTCGAACGGATACTGGAGAAGAGACCGAACTGAATTCAGTGGCTGCTGAGATCCGGTATCCATGCTGGTTGTAGGCTCACTGGCGTCCATGTCTATTACATCTGCGTCACGACCAAAAATGTGCTGGAGTAGTCGAGACTCTGCCGGGTTCTACCGAACACCAACGAAAGCCTTTGGCGGTAGCTCTATCGCCCATCATGCTTCTGAATCTACGTCGACGCTGATTGGATACATTCCCATTCCTACCATTTGATTTTCTTGTCAGCAATTGGCCGGCTGCTTCCGTTCTGTTTGGGCGATTGAAACACAGTCTACAGCCTTTCTGTCGCCTCCACCGCTCAGCAGAGAGCTTCTCACCAGTATATGTATATATATATATATATATATATATATGTGTGTGTGTGTGTGATTTGTTTTTGTTACAAAACACACAATTAACTTAGAATATGTGATTATTGTTAATTTTATTTATTTATTTTTTTAAATAAAAATTAAAAACACCGGGGAAAACTGGGAGGGCGGCGCCCTATCGCCCTCTACTGGCCAGCCGCCACTGCATGCACCACATTTTTATGGTGACAGTGGAATACAAAGTGGTCCCTTTCCTTTGACCGACCTCCTCACTTACAGTATCAACATGACAATCGAAGCAAAACCTCATTTGCAACAAGCCCCCAAAATAAACAAGCAAAAACTCCTCAAAATAGAACTAAAATACATGACTCCCCACAATGCACCTCGGCCACTGCAGCCAAGTGGTCGCTACCAGTCCAACTATTAGAATGGATGGATGGGTGGGTAGAGTCTGCAAATTAACTCTGCAGGTGTGACAGCTGCTGTGGGAGTTCACAGTTAGATTTTGTCCAAAATGACACCTGGAGAGTTGATGAGGAAACACTCCATTTTAATCGTCAGTGTTGCATATCAACTACATAACACTTTATTGCCCAGATTGAGGATACACATCTTCACCATCTTCTGGTGTAAAGTAATAACTTCATTAGGGATTACTGTATAATTGCAGCTGTGGCTCGTTAAACGCAATATTGCAACTTTGGTGCTTAAAGGGGTCATTTTACTGTCCTCACAAGACCTTTCAGTTTTAAGTCTGCACATTTATAATTTATTGAATCTACATGAGTGGGGTCAAATGAAACATTTTAATTCATATTGTTCATTGTTATGTCAGTGCTATATAAATATTTTAATGGATTTGAAATGCCTTAATTTTGTGAAGTTAGTGCACACCGTAGTCATAAATGCTATGGTTCTAAATATTGACATGATCATTTTTCAGCCTTTGTTTCATCATTTTTGTTTTCACCAAGAATTCTCATTATGGTGCACCCCTAATTACATCAATATTTAGGTTAACCACTTGGTGCCACATGTCAGACCATTAACTACTTGAAACATGACTGCTTTCAAAAAAACTGTTAACCCTCGTTCACATATACTTCACATCTGGTTGGGTTCACTCACCAGGTTCCAGGCTCCAGCTTATGTTTGGCCGTGGGTGTACCTTAGTTGTTGAATAAATACGTTCCATGATGCTGAGAATGGTGTTGTACTACAGACGAATTAAGAAGGGATAGTCAAGATCTCAGTTTTCAAAACACTCTGTAAAAAGCTTATGGAAATATTAGAGCAAGATAGAGACAACCAAACCTCCTCTCTTTCCTTCTGGGGAAGGTTGGCAGGTCCCAGCAGCATGATGCCCTCCATCAGCCTCTTGTCTTCAAAGTCAAGAAGCTCATTAGAAAAGACCTGCTTGGCCTTCTTCCCCCAGGCCTCAGTGAAGGCTTGTTCCTCTAGAGCTGCACTAACCTGAAAAGAAATGGCAGACATGAAAGGATGTTTTAGTCATGTTGAAGGGCATTTATGGGAATCCCTTAAAATGAGTCTTCATATTTGTAGACATCTTCCTGAACTAGATACCAAATCACCCAAAGGCTTGCCCAAAAGGATTTTGCTACCAAATGGAAACAGTACAACTCAGTTTAACAGAAAAGCACAAGACCCAGTTCAGATCTGATGTCCAATGCAGGGTGAGCTAATACACATTCCCACCCCAAGACTTTTTTCTTTATGCACTAAAAAGATCGAAGGATTCTCACCATTAGACAAAGACTTGCAGAACTGACCTGACTGGGTCAGGACTGCTGTGTAACATTAGACAAAACATGAAAAATGACTGCATGCTGTAAACTTCTGTAAGATTTAAGATCAACCATCTAAACCACAGGTTATTGTGGGAAATGCTGCATTTACCTGCAATATTTAGCTCCTCATTACAAAAATGTGTGACATTCTGAGTCATTTTCCTTTAGATGAAAACAAATGGCTTTTGGCAGAATTCTTACTTGATTACTAAATACATTCAAGATCAAGATCCAGCTGCATGGCGGCACAGCTGAAGCCCTGCAGCCTTGCAATAGAAGGTCTCCAGGCCAAAAATCATGTATGTTAACATAACTTGGCAAGTTCTTTTGTATAAATGTGTCTGCAGAATGAAAACTACCCATGAACAAATGTTTAACGTTTGAGCCAACATTCATTTTCAGAAAATTAAAACTAGCCCATAAGAGAAAAAGCAGGATGAAGAGACCAGAGAGGTGTGCATCATTAACATCCTATCTGGGAATATTGCTGCTTTGATTTAAAATTAAAATTAATGTGAGACAGGTGATCTCAGAACCCTGATTTTATTTAGTATGGCTACTCCATTTTATTTGAACCTGCTTCAGTCTGGAGTCAGAAGTTGTGATGAGACTTTCTGGCACCAAGACTGGGGGGTGTCCCTACCTGGAGGTTGGAGTTATAATCCGTTAGGTTTGTGTCGTAGTTCCAGCTGGCTGACACGCTGAAGAAGAACACCTCCTCAGCAGTGCTGTTGTAATCGCTGAGGAACCTCTGCGCGTCAGCTGTGCTGTTGGTGTAGTTTCCAGGCTGCCAGCTCTCTCGCAGTGCTTCACAGCGCAGCAGCACTGGCAGAAGCATCAGCAGAGAATTTACTAACCTGTGTACACCACCTCCACCCATGGCTGGCTCCAACTTAACAAGGGTTGAGGAGAAGAAAAGGGTTCAAATCCTACAAACGAGCTGCCTCATCCACTTCTCCAACCGGTGCGTCTTTTCTTCCAACCTGGCGGCTGCCGCTGCTGAAATGCTCAGAAAGCAACAAGCGCTTCTTTTAAAGTGCCAGTTTAACCCAACCCTTCTTCTTCTTCAGTGAGCGAGACAGGCTAGACCAGTGGCAGAACCAGAACGTAGCAAATGGGTGGGCCTAGAAAAATCTGGATGGGCCTAATTAATTTCAAAGCTCATATGAGATGTGTGCCGCGCATGTGCACATCAAAATGACATGTTTTAATAAAATCTCTCAAGCCACAAATAATCCTATGATAGAAGATTATACATTAGATACTTATTCCATGGATCTCTGTTAAATTTCAACTTTAAGGACTGTTACAGACGCTGGACTCCCGCTCTGGGCCAAGACCTGCACACTCTCTCGTGTGAACTTTCAGGCTGGACAGGTTCTAATCTCAGCCAGGCATGCTGCCTGGCTCGTCTCAGCATCCTAGCTGCAGGCTATCAGCCAAGGGCTGAAGATCCAAAAGACTATCGGGATTTTTGACTGTTCTTCATGCTCCAGATAGCTCAGGATGCAGCAGGAGGTGGTGCAAAACCAGAGATCAGATCAGATGATTCTCAGCTACCGCACCCTCCACAGGGGAATAATCCGCAAGCATGATGCAAGCACGCACACACACACACACACACACACACACACACCTTGACAAAGCAGCATACACCTCCAACCACACCCCCTCTCCTTACCGGCTCTCAAGAGCTCTGTCTCATTCAGCACCATGGACAGTGACACGCCGATGTGGTGCGGGACGACTCATCACCTCCGGAATCTTCCACCCAAAGCCTCGGTCCACATAACAATAAAATGAACAGAACCAAATAAAATGGCCTTAGAGGATTAAAGCAGACCCGATGAGATACCAGGATGAAATGATTCGTTTCCTTTACTGGATTAACGTAAGTGCAAGGAAAAGCATCAGATAAAAGGTCCTTGCGTGTCCGCTGTGTGCTGCGCATCTGTCTCCCCCTCACACCCAGTCCTTTCTCAGTTTACACCGCTGATCAGTATCAATGATGATGAGACTCTGGGAGATGCCTGGTTCAGCTGTGAGAAGTCCAGGGCAGGAGGACGCTTCTGAGAGAAAAAAAAATCATGAACATCACTGGGTGGCAGGGATGGCATCAGAATATTTTCTCTGCAGTAGGTTAATAGTTGCTTAGTGTCAGTAAACAGGTACCAATTCACTTTTTTATATAGAAAAGACCAAATTACAACTCCAACAAGCAAACTGGAAAACTTATTCATAATATGATTAAAATTAATACCAGACAGAAAAGTTACAGTATTTTTATTACACAATGAAAAAAGTGCACATTCATTAAAATAATAATTTCACATTGTAATTGTTGTTACAACATAACTTTAGGTTACTGTCGTAACCCCGGTTCTCTGAGTAACATGAGTGAGATGTCTCACTATGGGATACGCCACTCCGCGGATTCCTCAGAAGCACTTATCTCAATACGCCAATCCTGATTGGCCAGTGACCGTGACGTACGCGTCACCTGCTACTATAAGTAGCAAGCGTCCCAACGCACGCACCATTCAAGATAAACACCTCTTCTCGCTTCGCCCAGCAAGAAGGGTTGTCTGGTGAGACATCTCACTCATGTTACTCAGAGAACCGGGGTTACGACAGTAACCTAAAGTTCTCTTTCTTGACATTCGTTTCGATGTCTCACTATGGGATATGGAGACTCCCGTATTGCCAGACAGCTTATCCAGCGATCACCAACCTACAGGGATACGTCTTGGCCCGCCAAAGACCCCACACTCAGAATCGTGTGAGTCATTGCAGGGACCGAAACATCAAGCTTATAGAAGCGTGCAAATGCAAGTGGAGAAGCCCAACTTGTTGCAGCACAAATCTCCTGGATTGACAGCCCCTGAAAAAGGGCCTAAGAAGCAGACAGGCCCCTAGTAGAATGGGCCCTGAGCCCAACAGGTGCCTGAATGCCCTGACAGGAGTAAGCCATAGAAATAGCCTCCACAATCCAGTGGGAAAGCCGCTGCTTTGTGACGGGTTTCCCCTTACGAGGCCCACCCCATGACACAAAAAGCTGGTCCCCCCTGCGAAGGTTCTCCGTCCGATTCACATACTCCTTGAGCGCGCGAATTGGACACAGCTTGTGCCACCGCTCCTCCTCAGGAGAGGAGAAGGGTGGTGGGTAGAAAGCTGTGAGGATAATAGGAGAAAAGGAGCCCACTACCTTAGGCACAAAGGCAGGGTTGGGCTTCAAGGACACCTTCATGTCACCTGGTGCAAACTGGGTGCAGGATGGGTGCACAGAGAGAGCCTGTAAGTCACTAACTCACTTTGCAGATACCAAAGCCAGGAGTAGCACCACCTTAAGAGACAGGATCTTAAGGTCCAGGCTGTCCATAGGTTCAAATGGAGGCCCGGAGAGGGCCGACAGCACCAAGGACAGATCCCATGAGGGCACCAGGGGTCGAGACACAGGGAGAAGCCTGCGCGCGCCCCTCATGAAACTACACACCAGGGGGTGTCGACCTGCCAATTTCTTCCCAAAACCCAAGTGTCGGGCGGAAATGGCTGCTAGGTACACTTTAATGGTGGAGAAAGCCTTCTTCCCATCCAACAAGTCTTGCAGGAAAGACAGAATGATGTTCACCGGGCATTGGAAGGGTGAGACCTCCCTACCCTGACACCAGGCTTCAAACACCCTCCATTTACAGTCATATAGGGACCTAGTGGAGGGGGCCCTAGCATTCTGAATGGTTCGAATGACTGCCTGGGGCAGCTCTGCTGACACTAGCCCGCACCCCTCAGGGGCCAGGCCCACAGGGCCAGCCGTTCTGGATGAGGGTGGAAGATCGAGCCTCCCGCTTGGGACACCAGGTCCCTGCGAAGCGGCAGTTTCCAAGGTTGGCCCTCCAGGAGTTGGAAAATGTCCGCCACCCAATGCATGGCTGGCCAGTATGGGGCCACCAGAATGAGAGTGTGGCGCTGGGTTCGTACCCTCAGCAAGGTGGGTGGTATCAGGGCCACTGGGGGAAAAGCGTAAAGCAGTCTCCGTGGCCAGTTGTGCGCCAGCGCGTCCACGCCGAGTGGAGCGTCTCAGTCGCGCAGGGAGAAAAACAGTGGACACTGAGCATTCTCCTTGGAGGCAAAAAGATCCACTACGGCTGTGCCGAACCGGATCCAAATCTGTTCCAACACAGCCGGATGCAGGCTCCAATCCCCGTACAGGGGTGTCCCTCTGGACAACAGATCCGCCCCCCGATTCAGAACACCTGGGACATGGGTGGCTCTGATTGAGAGGAGATGCCTGCTGCACCATAGGATCAGTCTGCGTGCCAGCGTGTGTAACCGCATGGAGCGCAGCCCCCCCTGGTGGTTTATATAAGCCACAGTCGTTGTGTTGTCTGTTCTCACTAGGACATGATGGCCGGAGAGAAAAGGCAGGAAGCGCATCAGGGCCAGAAAGACCGCGAGGCGTTCCAGATAATTTATGTGTGTCCCCCAGAGCTCTCTGCTCCACACACCCCTGACAGAGCGACCATCCAGGAGCCCCCCCCCCCCCCCCCCCCAACCTGACAGGCTCGCATCTGTTGTGACCACTTTCCTCACGAGAACCAACCCAAAGGCACCCCCTGTGCCAAGAGGGAGGGGTGACGCCAACAGCGGAGCGCCGCGACGCACGCTGCAGAGACCGTCACCCTGCGCGCTCTGTGGCGCACTGGAGAGAGACCCAGAGAAGCCACCCAGCGTTGAAAATCTCTCATGTGTAGACGGCCGAGTGGTACCACTGAAATAGCCGACGCCATGAGACCCACAAGCCTGAGGCATAACGCAAACCGCACCGAACTGTGTAGACGGAAGCGCGCCAGGCAGAGCGAGAGCGCGTTCATGCGCGGTGTCGAGAGATGGGCCGTGAACGACCCTGAGTCCAGATTCAGACCTAGAAAGGTTATTTTCTGGGAGGGGAGTAAAGCGCTTTTCTGCCAGTTTATTCTGAAACCCAGACCACACAAGTGATGGATCACAACCAGCGTGTTTGACGCTGCCTCCTCTCTGGATCGTGCCAGCAGGAGCCAGTCGTCTAAATACGTGGCCAGCCGAATGCCCCTCCCTCTCAGAGGGGCGATCGCTGCCTCCGTACACCTGACAAACACCCTCGGGCTCAGCGAGAGGCCGAATGGGAGCACGGTGTATTCGTCACACACTCCCTGAAAGGCAAACCTCAGAAATTTCCTGTGTGGAGGGTACACGGGAATATGAAAGTATGCGTCCCTCAGGTCGATTGAGGTGAACCAGTCGTTCTGGTGAATCAGACGCAAAAGGGGTTTAGAGCGTGAGCATTTTGAATCTGTACTTTCTGAGGCATCGGTTCAGGGCCCTCAGATCCAGGATCGGGCGAATCCCGGTCCCTCCCCGTTTCGGGACCAGGAAGTACCTGGAGTAGAAACCGCTCTGAGACCGATCGGGAGGCACAATGCATATCGCTCCCTTCTCCAGCAGGGAGGAGATTTCTCCCTGAAGGATGTGAGCTGACGTCCCCTGGGCGTGGGAGAACACTACGCCGGAGAATCGAGGAGGAACTGAGGCAAATTGGAGCCTGTAACCTCTCGAAATAGTTCTCAGCACCCAACGTGAAGCAGAAACCGCTGTCCATTCCTCCATGTGAGTGGAGAGCGGTGACACAGCCATGACACACGGAGCAGCAGCTCCCTCCAGAGGTTGTGGGGCAGCGGTGCTCGTGGCAACCACTGCGCATGCGCGGGGGCTTTGTGCTTTGACGGCCCAGGCGTACGGGGACGACCCGTGGCTGGCGGGTAAGTCCGCCAGGGGCCGCCCCCGCCTGGTTCCGCTCATGGGTAACATTTTTATTGATTTTTGCTGCGCCCTTGACATTTCGTCTGGATGCGTCAGCGAACGTTTTAATGCTCCTTGAGCGTGACATGTTTGTGAAAAACAATGTGAGTGCTTGTGACGTGTGTTTTGAGCCGGCACAGCCGGCTGCACGTCCTGGCCCCACCCTGGACCGCTCGGGGACTCTGCCGGAGGGGTTCCGTGAGGGGGGGGGGGGGGGGGAGAAGGCACCATGGCAACATCGAACAGGAGGAGCTGGCGAACGGGGAACTGCCAGCTGCAGCGTCGGGAGGGAAAGAACTCCGTCAGGCTGCCCTCTTCTTCTTCCTCACCTGCTGACCGCCGGGTCGGGTGGGTTGTCCCGACGGCAGAGCGGCTTGGTTGCCGGATCTCTGAGGCCAAACTGGTCGAAGCGCTGAGCCCGAAGGAGCTGGTTGGACAGCTTGAGGCTTCGGGCGCTTTGGGATCCGGAACTGAGGCAGGGCTCTGGCAGCTGCCTGAGGAAGGTTCGGCCGAGCCGGCAGCGCCGGTGAGGGCTTACGGGGAAGGCAGAGATGAAGGGCTTCATCCTCTTTCTTTTTGGCCTCACACCGTTGCTGCATTGATGCCAGGGCAGAGCCAAAAATACCTTCAGGCACGATTGGCATGTCCAAAATGTCCTCCTTCTATCAGAGAGGTTGGTGAGGTTCAGCCATCGTGCACGTTCTTGAAGCACCATCATGCCCATAGCTTTAGCCGTAGCCTGGACCGCGCAGCGCTGCACACGCAGGCAGATGTCGGTCAATACGGTGATTCTCTCCCACACCTCCGGGTCCGGCTTCGTATTCATGTCCTCACAGAGCTCGGCTTGGTACGCCGAGAGCATGGAGGAGACGTTCAAAGCTCGGACCGAGATGGCGGCAGCCTTGTACGCCCTCCCGTTCAGCGCCGACTGGAAGCGGTCCGCCTTAGCAGGGAGAGCGGGAGGCCTGGAGGAAGTTGCCGAGAGCCGTGGGTGCAGGTGTGCTGCAACCAGCGGTTCCATCAGCGGCATGCGAAGCATGCCAGCCTTCTCCGTCCCCTCGAAGTCCAGCGAGGAGGCTCCTTGGACAGGAGGCCTGGAGCTGAAAGGGTGTTTGTCCCAGGAGGACCTCACTTCTTGGAGAAGCTCCGGGAAGGAGAGGCTTTGCCGCCCTTGTGGCCTGAGGCAGCTTCTTTCCCTCGTAGCGGGATCTGACAGCCTCAGTGACCACGGTGGGCC